TTGGATGTTTACAGGTTTTCTCAGGAAATTTTTCTCTTGCTGCAGTAAACATCCTGTAAGAGTGGTTTCAATATGAAAATTGAAATGAGAAAAACTTCGGCAGAGCCCTCAGAGTACACATCATAAACAATAGTGAAAGGCATTGTTGTTGTTTTCCTTTAATGTGTTTGGCCAGTTTAGTTCAACTAGGACCCAGCCGGTAGGTATTTTTCATCTCTCACTTATTAAATTATAGTTCATTTGCATTAATCATAAAAAAAGAAATAACTCTTGAAATGTATAATGCTCTCCCTGAGCATTCTAATATTACTGATACTAGTCCACACATTAGTATTTGCTAGCAGTGATGTTTGGGAAATATGGTTTTGGTGGGCCTTTGGATGTTAGTAAACTGTTATTCCACCACTATTATTAACTTTTATTGATGAGCCTCATGGCGCAGTGGTTAAACTGCTGTACTGCAGCCAAAACTGTGCTCACAACCTGGGGTTCAATCCCAGGTAGCCGGCTCAAGGTTGACTCAGCCTTCTATCCTTCTGAGGTCGGTAAAATGAGTACCCAGCTTGCTGGGGGGGGGGCAATGTGTAGCCTGCATAATTAAATTGTAAACCGCCCAGAGAGTGCTTGAAGCACTATGGGGGTGGTATATAAGCAGCACGCTTTGCTTTGCTTTGCTTTGTTATTCCAGCATTATCTGGGGATGTATAAAAGATAAAACTGGTGGGCTTTAGGTTGTTTTATGTGACGTATTCTGTTATTTGATTTTTTTGTGTCTTATATATGTAATGGACGTCTATATTGCTATGTTGTGGTGTATGTTGTTTTAGGTGTCTTCAGACAAAAGAACAGCATGTAAATGAGTAAGAATAAGAATAAAAAGTTTTGATATGAAATATTTTGCGTAATAAAATATTAAGTAAATATTTTAAGAGAGAGAGAGAGAGAGAGAGAGAGAGAGAGAGAGAGAGAGAGAGAGAGAGAGAGAGAGAGTTTGTTTATAGTAAATTAGTAAGTTGGTCACAATTTTGTTCCAATATTGTAATTCCTTCTACATATACTATACTTAAACTGGTAATGTGTGGTAGAGATTTAGAGTGTGTGTATGCACATACACACATGTCCATGAATCGAAGTACTGTACTGTTATTAAGCCAGATTGAAGTTAGTGGCTCAATTTTCTACTTCTCTGAATTAGTTTTTTTCCTGAGAACAGCATGTACAATGCTGAGGACGGCAGGGAAGGCCTCCTCAGATTGCTTAAATATTTGGTTGGCTGGTTCTGATCAGCAGGTACACCCTGCAGGAAGACTGTTTATCCAGCAGAATGATCTCATTATGAGGACAGTGATGTACTATGGCTTGCTTCATCCCCAGAAGCTATTCAAAGGAACAACTGGGTAAATTATATTTATCTTATTCTCTGCATTGTGCTATTATCAGTTGCAATAACTGGTTGTATATTAAAACAGAGATTACAGACTAGAGCCACTTCACTGAATGTGGTTCTGAAATTCCACACTTTTGAATAATGCAGATGTTTTTCCAAGTTAAAAGAATACTAAGAAGAAAATGGTATTGTTGATAGAAACTGGGAGGTTCAAGCTTTTCCAGTCTATAAATTTATATGGGGATGCAAGTCTTGATTTCTTCCATTTTCTGGTAGTAAACGAGAAAAATCACAATATTTTCTCATTATCATGATATACGTAGCAAAGTTGAGTGTTTTTATTATTCTGCGATGATGATAACACAATTCTGTAATGTGTGCATTAACAGAAATGAGGTATACATTGTCTTCTTTCATGAACTGGCAAATGTAGCAGCATTTGGTAGGACTTTCTGATCAATCAGTCTGTCCCTCTTTTTGTGTTACTAAATGTTCATTGATTATTAAAAAACACACACACACAACCCAGACAATTAATTACATAACCATTTGCTCCATAGACTATATGTCTTCAAGCATCTAGTATCAATTATAAGAAGCTACCCAGTGTGGTGTAATAGACAGAGTGATGGACTAGGTTTCAATTGTAATATTTAGAAATTTCTCTACATTTACTACAAAGTAGCTATTCCCATTTAACCATATTTTCAGAAGGTCTACATCCAATCTACCAGGAAAGATCAGGTGTGGTATTTGGTCCTTTGCACCTTTATAGAAATTTCAGTACAGAAACATAATATGCACCAGAATGACATAATATTTGGGGTTTACCTTGAAACTGCCCTTCCATCAGCATCAAGGGTATAGATCAGCCCTTGCTATTAAAAAGGCTCTCCGGTATTTAAAGATTGTTAGCTTATTTAAAGAAAGACTCTATTTATAACTGAAGGTAAAGGTAAAGGTTCCCCTTGATATTTTTAGTCCAGGCGTGTCCGACTCTAGGGGGCGGTGCTCATCCCATTTTAAAGCCGTAGAGCCAGTGCTTGTCTGGAGACCGTTTCCATTGTCACGTGGCCAGCATGATTAGGGAACACTGTTTTACCTTTTCACCAAGATGGTACTTATTTATTTACTCGCATTTACATGCTCTCGAACTGTTAGGTTGGTGAGGAGCTGGGACAAGCGACGGGCGCTCACTCCGTCGCATGGGTTCGATCTTACGACTGCTGGTCTTCTGACCTTGCAGCACAGGCTTCTGCGGTTTAGCCCGCAGCACCACCACGTCCCATTTATTACTGAAGGAAACATTAAATCCAAGTTCTATTGGCTGGAGCCAGCAATCTCCTTTTCAATACATAAGATCCTCTGCTTTATCATCTACCTGGCTTGTGTGCTGTTACGCTGGTATAGCTTTGCTAGCTGAAGCCAAATGATGAAATCTTTTGAATCACAGATTTATTCCAGGAAAAGACACACGGATCACTCATAGGACTCAAGTTTCCCTATGTAGTAGTTGATTCCAATAGCTAAGGGTGTAACTTCAGGCCAGAATTATTTGTGAGCTTAAACCCACTTCTAGGTTAAGAACCAGTCATTAGATAGCACTCAAAATAGATCTCAAGAATGAAGCTGTTCAATAGATGAGTGTAAATCTGTGGTCCACACTGCCACGTTTTATAAAAGCTGGGACATTAATTTGACCTTGAAAACCTTGACTGCAGCAGAAACAAACCTACCTCCTTTGGTCAGAAAAAAAAGTGTAATATCATGTTTGAGCATTGTTCTGCTCCAGTAGATATAACAAGCTTCCTCTGTGCCATCATATAGAGGATTTATGAAAGTAAATATTCAGTATAACAAGCTTCCTCTGTGCCATCATATACTGTAGAAGATTTATGAAAGTAAATATTCACGAATTTGTTTGGCCAGATGGCCATCAGTTTCTCAACTAAATCTAGTTTGTTGCAGTTTTTGAACTAATAGCCAGCTGATTATTTCCGCAATACTCTCCCAAATCAGCCAGTAGTCTTTTTAAGCCTAGATTTGTCTGAAAACAGTAATGTGTCACTTGCATAGGGAAAATAAGAAATCTTTATTGATGCAATCTTTGAAGGATATGACTCTCACAAGCTTAGCACCTGTGCTAATTCTCCAAGGGAAATATTTAATAACACACAACCTTGCTTGACCCCCTTGAATATGTGGATCACATTTGCAAGCTGGCTTTTGCAGCAACATCTCACTTGATGTTGCAATGCAATGTTTTAATCAAGAACAGTAAGCGCAGTTCAACTGTTAGGTCTAACTTCCTCCAAAGGATTTCCCAGGAAATAGAACTGAATGCTGATTTAAAATTGATGAAAACCACAAACAATTTTCCTGCTGAGGAGCTGGAATACTTTTCAGCAATGTATGAGAGAGTCAGACAATGATCTAATGTACAAGAGTCTGCTTTAGCACCAATCTGCTCCTTACACTGGAGGAATTAACCTATTCCTTCAATTTAGCTGCAAAATGGGAGGAATGCCAGGAAACAGGGAGAATAGTTATGGGACAATAGTTACTGGGGTCAGATCTTGAATCCTTCTTGTAAATGGAACTAATAATAGCCCTCTCCCAAAGGCTGGGGCATTCTTTTTATGGTTGCTATATGTGCATGCTTAGCTTTGATGTCTCTTTCAGCCACATATTGTATCTGAAACAATATTTTTGGAATACCATTTCTCAAATGCTCATTTAGTATATATATTTGCATGGTTACATAGCTTAACTACCCATTTAAGTATACAATTCTCTTGACCTTTTGTTTGTTTCAGATTTCTTTTAATCCATAACTATAACTGATTATGCAGTCATGATTGGAATTAAGGGTCATCACCCATTAGAGATGTTTAGTTCACTTGGCAGTTTTGGGTGGCAATACATCAATTCAGTTAAGTTCAATGGTATGATCATTTGTAATATCAATCTAATAAGTATCAAAACCATTGAAATCACCACTAGCAGCAGTTGTTTTTTAATACAGGAGTCCCCACCCTCACCCCTTTATCTGCAGATGATCCATTTCAAGACCTATTGCAGATGTCTGAAGCCATGGATAGCATACTCTTGTATGTCATATATAAAGATGCATGATCATGAAATCCTCTTATCTAAGTAGCTTATATGTTTGAAATGGTTTCATCAGATATTATTGATGGAAAATATATCGAAGGAAAGGACTAACACCAAGCAAGGTGATGAGATTTGCTAATTGTTCCATATTACCAAGAAAGAAAACACTGATTGGAATCATGCTCCTTATTGTACTTGTACTAGAGTAGGGCCATTCGAATCTATGGACCTTACAGTGGAGTTGACTCATCGAATCCCCACTGATTTAATGGGTCTGGCATAGTGCAACATACTACGTTAAACAACAGCACTTCATTCAATGTACTGTGGTAAATCTTGATTGACATTCAATGAAACCATTTTAGAGTATATTGCTTAAAATCAATAAATCAGCATGGTGATTTAAGAAATGAAAAGTCCCAAATAAGGTAAGGGGAATGTGGTGTATTCAGCAGTATGTTGACTTCTCAATGGTTTTTCTTCCTCTTTTCTCTTTCAGCGGATGGATGTACTGATTGGTCGGTGGATTACAAGAAGTATCAAGTTTTAGTGGGAGAACCTGTTCGTATAAAATGTGCATTGTTTTATGGATATATAAGAGCAAATTACACCTTAGCACAAAGTGCTGGACTCAGTTTAATGTGGTACAAAAGTTCTGGACCTGGAGATTTTGAGGAACCTATAGCTTTTGATGGAACAAGGATGAGCAAAGAGGAAGATGCAATTTGGTTCCGTCCAACAGTGGCACAAGACAGTGGACTTTATGCATGTGTTATAAGGTAAGCACTTCCATTTCCCATCTTCCAGCTAAACTAAAAAGTAAAAGAAGCTATAAAATACAATTTCTTGCTTTCCCCAGCATTTGATTAATCATCTGCAAGAGGAACATCTTCATTTTGATTCTGTGCCATATCCTGTGTCATTACCTCTTCTGCATATTTATATTTACTTTACATTTTATAGAAAATATATTTTACACATACTGTCCACTCAGCTCCCGTTGGCCTTCAACTGGTGCTCCTGTCCTATGAAACACTCCACACAGTGCAGACATTTTGAATAGGTTTGCTTTGAATATGTTATCTTTGAAACACCATCATTTTGAGTAGATGTATAAGCTGTATTTATGACTTTTCAATTTCCTGAGGAAGGAAAGATATGTTACTGCCTAGTGGAAGTGTTAAGCTTAGCAAGTACAGATTCTGTACCCTCACTCCGCCCGCCTTTTTCTGTTATTTCAGTTCTACAAAGATTTCTGCCGCAATCGTCATATACGATATGTATAATTGTCATTAGATGATATGCAGAATTGGTACCCAAAGAAAGGAAAACAGAAAACAATTTCCTTTAACTTATACCCTAGATATCATTTACACTGTAATGGGATAAGATTAAACTCAGTACATTTTTATTCTCTCTCATACACACACCATAGCAGAGCATATCACTTCTTAGATCTCTTGCTTATGAAATGCATTATTCCCTATATCATTTCCGTCTGTATCATAGCACTGATTCATCCTGAGCTACATTTTTGCCCGTGGAGAAAACAGAGAGCATATGGGCTCCCACTTAGATTCTGAAAATTATCCAAGAATATAGAATTAAATTTAGAGATAGGTGAAATGATGCAGATAAAAATGCAGGAAAAGTCTTGCAGAGAAAATGCACAATTTATTGCTAAATGGCTTGTAACATTTAGCTTATTGCCCTTTTCAAAAAAGACTGATGGCTCTTCATTGACACATATCTGTAGATATGATCCATTTACTTACACATTGCAGGTTCCATTATAAAGCAAGTGTGACAGGAAATGATGCACACCTGCTATTGAGGTAGTCTGCATTCATGGTCATGGAAAAAAGAATTAGAAAAACAAAACAAAAAGAAATAAAGAAAAAGAAAAAACAAAAACATCCTGTACTAAATTTCAGGCACTTTTTAGCACTTGTTGCTCATTTTTTAAACGATTGCCAGAGTCTGCATGTTTTTGGTAGCTTGCCATCCTAGTGCTTGTCTTTGCTCATTATATATATCATTCTCTAGAAGAGCAGACACTTTCTCACTACTACTATTACTACTACTATTCAGTTCAGACAGGGAACATAATGTATGAACACACTGATAGTTTGATTATATAATAAGATAACAGAGTTTACAGAGAATGTTGTATCTTTGATCTCCCATTTTGTTCTCTCTTCACTCTTTATTGAAAGTGCTGTAGAACTCACTGTTCATATAGCAATCTATAGTCATTTTGGATATATATTGAACTTTTAACATTCCTTGTCAGGAGATACTGATATGCGGTGCCACATACCCAATCTAGCAGTTCTAAAGCTTGGGTTGGAAGTGGGTCAAAAACTGTCTGCCAAAAGGAAGGACTAGGATAGCTCACCCATCAGGCCACATCTGTAGTAAGAAGGTGGTTCCATGACCAGCCTTGCCTATGACCTCACAATTCCAGACGAGTGACTTGAATTAACACTGAGGCTGAGCACTATCCTGCTGAGAAATCGTATGTTGTTAGAAAGGATGCTTTTGCCATGCTTGATCATTGCTGGAGTTTTAACAACCTTTATATGCTGTCTTTAAGAGGTTTGGCTGGCAGGAACCTCTTGGGCTGGGGTGATTGTCAGTACACACAGTAACCAATTATTCTTTTCCTGCCTCTCTCATTAAGAGTCCCCCACCCACCCCCACCCTGCACTTTTCCAGTCAGTTTTCACTTAGTAGTGGTAGTCTGCTGGAAGTTATGTAGTTATGAGTCAGTTAAGGTCTGTTCATGTAACCAGTCTTTTTTGTGAGTACATGGAGCTTTTTATTCTTTTTCTTACCAATGTCTCAGAATGAGTTATCGAGACTGTGCCAGTTGCTAAGAAGCAAATGGAACAGTCTGTTCTGGGAAGACTTGAAGCTAATTTTGCTCTGTAGATATCTGCATTTTTCTTGCTACGTAGCTAGAGGTTTTTAGCCAAAATTTCACTCCGCTAAGAATCACTGCCTAAATGTGTCTCTGGAAACTTTTTGATATCTACCATGTCCCTGTTGAAACAGTCCTTTAGCAAGATGAACCCAATACTCCTGAACCCAAGAGGGACGAACCACTTAGCTCCACAGACAATGAAACTTTGGGAACCCAGAAGCATGTGCATGATAAGGGCTCAGAGGCCATGTAGGAGGAGTAAATGGGACCTTTGGCTATGGTATGTTTTGGCAAGCTCTTCAGTAGCTGTTCCCTTTTGTTTTGACCCTGGTTTGGGGATTTTCTGGCTGGGAGCCATAACTGCCATGCGCCAGTGTGGAACAGGACAGTATCTACTTCATGTTTCCTGCCTGTATATACCCCTGAAAATGTGAGCGAATTAGCCTATCCCACAACAAAACTCGGTGCATAACAAAAAGGTAATTGGATTATAAAGCCAAATGGAACCAAAAAGCAAGATTAACATATTAACAGAGCCACTTAATCCACTTAAATAACCACCTCTGAGAACAGATTCTCTAGAGTAGAGAGAAAAATCCATCCCAGAGGAGAGATGAACCAAAAATCTCTATTTAACCTTGCAAGGGTTGCTGGCTAATTCTACACAGACTTCCCATGAGAAATGGGGTCATGATGAAAGCTGGTGTCCAACTATGCAATGTACAATGACACTGATGATATGCTGACCAGCTTCCATTCTGCTATGTGAAATTTGGAAATAGACATTAGAATGTAGGGTCTTTTTGCCTCTGTTCTGCCCCTTCTTAAAATGGATTGAGCCTTTAAACAGGAACCCTAAAGTCTCAAATATGCATACCCAATTTTGACATCTTAGTCAGCAGTGATATTTATTTATTTATTTTATTTTATTGGATTTATACCCCGCACCATCTGGCAACCAGGCCACTCTGGGCAGCTAACAACAAGATAAACAACACAATATCAAAACACGATAAAAATAATAATACATACATACATTCAGCAAATATAATAACCAGCAGGATGAATTAAAACAGATGGCAATGAGGTGGTAAAAAGGATGATGAAAAGGATGGCAAAAGGGAGGCCAAGATCTCAAAACCTAACACTCAGGGAAAGCCTAATATTATTATGTGATAGGAAAACAAATTTATATACTTTATAGGTAGAATTTAAAAACAAGCAATTTAATTCAGAGATGATCATTGAGTAAATATAGAGTAGGCCCTTCTAATCTGCACACACTAGATTTTGTTGTTGTTGAGTGCATAGTACACATTCTGAGGTTCTTCCTAATCTCAGTGATAATTCCAATATATTGCAGTGTGTAAAAATGCCCCCAAATGCTGAATAACCAAAAAGTGTGTCAATCCTGTATTACATAAGACCCAAACACCTAGACTGTGTGTGTGATATGTCATTTTGTTTGTTTGTTTGTTTGTTTGTTTGGTTATTTGTTTATTTAGATTTATATACCGCTCATCTATAACATGTCACTCTGGGCGGTTTACATATAACATAAAAAATGAACTAAGGTAAAATCCAAGTGAATCACAGAATCCAAAATGGGGAAAAGAAGAAGAAGAAGGAGAAAGAGAGAAAAAGGAAAAGGGGAGATAAGCTAAGTAATAGCTGTAGGGAAGGCTTGCATTTATAGCCATGTCTTCAAGCCTAGTCTTGAAGGCCCTCAGCAAAGGAGCCAAGTGGATCACCCCAGCTGCAGTTGGCCAAGAGTCCAGGCCATAAAGTTAGTGGTCAAGGACATATTGTCAAATAGCAGAAATTGTGGGACAGGCTCCTCTTAAGCCAGTTGCAGCCAATACAGTATTTGAGATAAATTTGTCACCCTTCCCAAGTTGCTCTACCCATATTCTAACAGTTGGGGTGCTATATACATATTGCTGTGTTTCTCTAAGGGCTTCATCATTCCCTGTTGAGGTCCACATGTAGCTACTTCTTAGCCTGTAACAAGGCTTGAACCTATCAGACGCCTGATACAGTCAGAAGCAAATTTCCAACAGAGGTTTTGGCAGGCAAGGTAGCTGACTCCCTTGATTTCAATGCCACACTTAACCTCCTCTTGTCACTTTTTAGCCATAAATATGTTTTTTTTAATTATTTTCATATGCTTTTAATTATTCAATGTATTTTAATTAGTTTTATAGTTTAATTGTTTTTAATATATCTATATATCAGGAGAAAGGTGGCCTATAAATATGACAAATGAATGAATGAATAAAAATAAATAAATACTATTTTTTTAAAAAAAAAATCTAACATCATGAACTTGGTTAGAGAAGCTTACCTCACCCTTCCTGTATCACTTTGCCCAGAAGAACAATACCACATTTTAAGAGAAGAGTTTTCCATTCACATTTGGTTCTCCATATGAGCAAGAATCCTGGAAAATTTGCATTATTGCGCATGTGTAGTGCCTACATGCAAAAAGAAACCTCTTCTCTTCAGGCATGTCACAACTCACATGAGCAAAGCCACAGGTCGGGGGCTAGGCACTCCTATTGATCGTATTGATTATTGCGGTTAGAGAACAACTGAGAGGGCTCTAGTGTTTTTTTAAAAATCATCTGGTGAAGTCAGATTGATCAAAAGTTTTCTTCACCAAAAGATTGCTATGTGAATGATGGGATCCCTATAGAGACATGTAACTCTGAGGCACTAAGATACCACATTCTGTTGCACACGTATTAAAAAGTTTATAAAATGTACCTTGGAGTCAACTGAAGAGATGAATGAACTTCATTATAAACAGCACTTCTTTGCTAGGAGCCAGAATTCTGTCTCTTATTTTACTTT